AATAGTTGACTTTTTCTTAATAATAGACTTTATAAAATCAGGTTTATGTAAACGTCAAAACTAAAAATGTTCTCTCATTTTAGTCAATATAAAGATGACTTGATCGATTTCGATATCTGGCCTGCAGGATTACCCGATTTGAGTTCAAATGTTCTGGGTATCATAAATGACGATGAAGTAAGTGAAGGAAAAAGAATGTTTAATTACTTGGGCTAGACATGATTTTCAGCTCAAAAAGAGTATCTCTCGGCCGCTATGTAAGTGTATTTCTGTGGAACGAAACAGCGTCTTTTTAGCTTCAGATAGATAGAAGCATATCTACAGAAAGCAAGGTACAATATAATATTGTTTCATGGAAGCAACCTGGAGAAAAATTGAGGACCTAAAATTAACAACATAAAATTATTTCTAGTTCTTTTAGTGAAAACACCAGAAAACCGATTGACTTTCTCTACGAAGACAGGAATATAATTGATTTTTTAAGATATTTAGATTTTTGTTTTCTCATTCTATATCTTCAATTCATGTGTGTATATCTGTTTCTGTTCCCTAGTACACTCTATTCAGCATAAGCTAATAGTTATTTAACTTTTTTTCTTTCTTTCGTCCATCTCAGATTAAATCCGTCGTCGGAAATTTAATTTCAGTTAAAAAAAATACAGTCTAGTTAGATTTTGTCTCTTTTTGGAACCATAATGCCTAGACAAAAGCAAAATATATTCAGTCATAGAACTATATATAGAGATTGTTAACGTAAACATCCAATGTGTCATCGGAAAATTAATCCAAAAAGTATTTTGTTCATAGATAACGAGAAAACTTAAGAAATTGAGAAAACAACAGTATGGGTCGTCAACCACATATGAACGTGAGTAAGAGTGCACTAAAACACAAATATATATTTTTGAAAAGGATATTATCGATAGTATTAGTCATAAAGACTTTTTGACACTATAACATAACATAACATTATTTTATTTTTCTCTAATCAGCATTCGTCATTGTTTATTCCTGCGTTAACGGAATTTTTTCGATTTTTAGTGTTTAGCAATGAAGCAAGAACTTAAAAGTACTCTGGCCAAAATGGAAAATAAAGTATGATTTTGATATTCATTTGCTACTAAAAGTCGCAATTTATATTTGTTTTATTATATTGTTTATTCTTGCGTTAACGAAATGTTTTTCGATTTTTAGAATTTAGCAATGAAGCAAGAACTTGAAAGTGCGTTGATTCGTTTAAAAGTAGCTGAAGAAGAGAACGCATTACTGAAAAAGAAATTGGAAAATATAAAAGATATAGTAAATCTTTGTGTTTTAATTGTGTTAAAAAATAATGTTCAACGATTCCTCTATGATGAGCAGACATTTTCGTAATAGCTTCTTTTTGTTCTAGGCTAATGTGCAATAATCAATAAGAATATCAACAAACTTTCATCTAATTGATCCGTGTTTTTCATCTTTTTTTTTTCGTTACTTCCCGAACTCCGCACACTTTTAATAAAAAGTGACTATATCTATATCCTAAACTCCGCACATAATTACATAAAATCGAAATGTACGTGATCTCAATCTCCGCACACTTTTTAATTAGCAAGTAAAACATGGACTGTAAGAAATAGAAAAATATATCATTATATCATATATTCTTAATTTGATTAGAATAAGAAATAGAAAAATACATATACTCTTTCATATATTCTTAATTTGATTGTGATATTTCGTCCGTATAGCGAAAAGGTACTGTTACGTTTAATTATTTGAATATAATTTAAATGTTGTGTAAATAATATAAATGATGACTGATACGACAAATGATTGAAAATCAAGAAATTCTGGGAAACTGTTGGAGAAATTAGGACAGCTAATATCACAAATGAGTAATCAAATAATTCCTAAAAGGGTATATATTCTCTTCTGCAAAAATACATATGTACTCACAAATATTTTACGAAATGGAATTTGAAATTGAAACCGGTCAGCGTGGTTCACAAGTTTGCA